TGAACAAGTACTGCTAATATCACACAACCCTAACTAGGAGGTGCGGGGCTAGTTGTATCTTTACAGTCTGCCCATGGTAAGGAACACCAGGTAGCTGCCCCACCCCAAACGCAGACCAGGAAGGGAATTATTACTCACCAAGTCACAATTACCTCCCTGGTTCCCCCTTTGTTCCAGTAGCAGATTAGTATCGTGTCTGCACTGGCCAAGATTCCACTCACTCCCCACCAACCTGCAATGGAGGAGAAGTAGCAGCTCCAGAAAGCTGCTCTTCTCACTGTGTTGTGACTTCCAATGCAAGTAGCTCATGCAACGTAGGGGAAGGGAGCGCCTTGCACACTAAGCAGGTGACCTCAACCTCAACCTAAATTAATATTTTCTTTGTTTTTTTGATTGCAGAGTAGAAAATATGGGTAAAACAGAGAGAAAAGAAAAATGGAGGTCTTTTGGTTGCAATTACACGTTCTGGGCACAAACCCTGCTCCTTTGGGAGTTTGGCCTTTCATTTCAATAGCAGCAGGATGGAGCTCACAATATTTACATTAAGCGGCTTGCTCTAGAAAGGATGGTATTGCTGCTGAGATTTATGAATAACGGGAGCAGCATGCTTTTCCCAAGAGGCTGATCACAGTTATTCTCTTATGCACACAGTCTCTCTTGGCCCAGAGCCTTGGATTCAGTGGTTGTTTTTGAACCTTAGCCTCCCATCTGGCAGCATAATGAATGCATGCTGCCATGCCAATGAGATAATTTATCTGTCTTAACTGCACGCAGCAAAAAGTTTAAAAAAAAATTAGCATTTACATCACTCTGCTTCAAATGCCTTCTTGCATGCTCCTAATATAAGGGATGCTGACTTTCTGAACATGCGGTGTACAAAAAAAAGAGGGATCTTAGCGTTCCCCATTATAAACAAATTTACCACAGTTACCATGTGTAGCTGCTAAAGGAAATCCACAGAGGAGGAAATGTCCCTTGCAGATAGATACAGCTGCAGTCTCTGTCTTCACAAAGTCACCATTTTAAGTCTAAAAGATTGTGTGTGTTCAAAAGTCAACAGGGGTCTGCTTTTGCTGTTTCATTAATTACATGCGTAGAAACATCAGGGAAAGGGTTTAAACATTTTGGTTTGAAATTCTTAATGTAAAAAGGCTACAGTATTTGGGTCAGGGCATTTACATAGGAACAAAAACGGATTAAGAATATCAGTACTTTTTCCTTTTTTACATTTAATATTTGTATTTCACCAAATGAAGTTACCAGGATGATTATACATGCCCAAGTAGTTCACTGATGTAATTTATCCCCACCTCTTCACCTTTCAACAGCCCTAGAGTTCTCAGTGGGACTAAATTGCATGATAAATAAGCCTCAGAGTGTTATCAACTGGAAACTTGTGCTACATTAGGCCATAATGGCCTGATAAGAGTATTGTAGCTTGTAATCACATCTCGGTGGGGTTTTGGACGGAGGGGGATGGGGTTCCCCCCTCCCTGTTTTAGAAGTGTTATTTAGTTTAAGAGCAGGAGTGGAAGTCACCAAAAGTTGTTTAAAGGTACTGTATATTGGTAAATCAGTGCTTTTCACCACTGCATATTGTACTGCATAAAGGAATATCTGCCAATGTATTAAAGTGAAGAATGTAAGGTACTCAGTGTACTGGTGTACTTGCATATTGGATTAGAAAAATGTTTATCACGGGAATTTTACTTTAAAAATTGTGCAAAGTGCCTCTCTTTTGTCTGTTGTTTTTGGGGAGGCGTTTGCTTCTTTGCTTTTTTACAGATAGGTATCAAAGACACGTTTCAAATACCTAGAGATGGGCAAAACAAACGGTGCTTTGGTTTGAGAACACAGAAGTAGATTTTCAAAAGGCAGAAATAAAAGTTAGGTATCTAAGTCCCACTGAATATCATTGTGATTTGGGTGCCTAAATGCCATGCACTTGGAAATCTGCTCCCTTGTCAATTGTGTTTAATCATAACCAAAACAAAAAGAGTGATTTGAATGAAGGTTACTTTTTATCCAGACTCCCAAAGTTCAAAGGCAAAGAAGTCAGAGGTATCCATGTATGTATGTGTTATATAAATACACATGCACATGGTACATCTATCTATGGCTATGCAAGGAGTATGGGGAATGAACAGAGAGCACTGGAAGTATTAGTACATAACGCTAAATTATGACTTAAGTAGTCATCAAGACTTGGTGGGCTAAGTCTCATGACTGGAATATTGGTATAGAGCGGTATAGCTTTTTCAGGAAGGACAGGAAGGAAAAGAGGGAAGAGACATTATATTAACCAGCAAGAATATATACACTTGTTCTGAGGTCCAGAAACAGATGAGAGAAAGACCAGTTGAAAGTCTCTGGGTAAAGATAAAAGGGGGGGAAATAAGAGTGGCATTATGGTAGGGGTCTACTATAAATCACCAAATCAGGAACAGGTATTTCTAGAACAATTTGTAATCACCTAGAGGATAATTGGGTTATATGGAATAGCCAGCATGGATTTTTCAAGAGCAAATAATGTCAAACCAACTTAATTTCCTTCAGGGTTACTGGCCTAGAGGAAAGGGGGAAGGAGTAGACTTGATATACCTTGATTTTAGTAAGACTCTTGACACAGTTCCACATGATATTCTCATAAGCAAACTAGGAAAATGTGGTCTAGATGAAATTACTATCAGATGGGTGGCACAAGTGGTTGAAAGACTGTACTCAAAGAGTTGTTATCAGTGGTCCACTGTCAAACTGGGAGGCCATATCTAGTGGGGTCTCACAGGGGCCATACTCTTCTAGCCATAGATGTACCATGTGGAGAATAGGATTAGAATTGAAAACGACTTTGAAAAAAAAGGAGAATTGATCTGAAATCAATTAGATGAAATTCAATAAAAAGTGCAAAGTACTTCACTTAGGAAAGAACAATCAAATGTATGGCTACAAAATGGAGAATAACTGGCTAGATGGTAGTACTGCTGAGGGTTATAATGGACCACAAGTTGAATATGAATCAACAAAGTGATAAATTTGCAAAAAGGCTAATATCATTCTGGGATGTATTAACAGCAGTGTCGTATGTAAGAGATGAGAGGTAATTGTCCCGCTCTACTTAGCAGTGGTAACACCTCAGCTGGAGTGCTGTGTCCAATTCTGGGCACCACGCTTTACGAAAGATGTGGACAAATTGGAGAGAGTTCAGAGGAGAGAAACAAAAAATGACAAAAGGTTTAGAAAACCGGTCCTATGAGTAGGGCCTTACCAATTTTACGGCCATGAAAAATGCGTCACAGACTGTGAAATAAGACCTTCCCAGTGAAATCCGATCTCCCCCTGCTGCTAGGAGCGCCCCAGCCAGGGGGCTCCTAGCTCCGGCAGGGCTGGGGAGACACAGGACTTGTCCACCCCTGCACAGCCACTCTCGGGCAGAGCTCAGACCCACCTCCACCTCCGGGAACCTCCTCTGGCTGCAGGAAGCTTCATGGTTACTACCTTCAGAGTCCAGCTTTGAAGGCAGCACAGACGTGAGGGTGGCAATCCCTTGATCCCCCTACAACAGGTTTGCGACCTCCCCACAATCCCCTTTTCGGTTGGGGTCCCCACGGTTACAACACTATGAAATTTCAGATTTAAACATCTGAAAACGTGAAATTTACCAATTTTAAAATCCTATGGCTGCGAAATTAACCATAATGGACCGTAAATTTGGTAGGGCCCTACCTATCAAGAACACACTTAAAAAAAAAAAAAAGGCATGTTTAGTCCTAAGAAAAGAAGACTGACATAGGGCCTGATAACAAATCTTCAAATATGCGAAGGACTGTTATAAAGATGTTGGTGATCAGTTGTTCTCCATGTCCACTGAAAGAAGGACAAGTAGTAACTGGCTTAATCTGCAGCAAGAGAGATTATATTTGATTTTAGGAAACACTTTCTAACTATAATGGTAGTTAAGCTCTGGAATAGGCTTTCAAGGGAGGCTGTGGAATCCCCAACATTGGAGGTTTTTCAGAACAGGTTGGGGAAACACCAGTCAGGGATGATCTAGGTGTACTTGATCCTGCCTGAGCACAGGGGATGGACTAGATGACCTCTCGAGGTCCCTTACAGCCCTGCATTTCTATGATCAATGGTCCCAGTTTTGGACTGTGTTACAAAAGGAGATAGACAATTAAAGGGTTGGGGGAAGACCTGATTTTGCAAAATCTCACCAGAGCGGATTTTGTTTCACAAAACCAAACCTAAGATCCAAACCACTCCTTGGTCTAAGTCCCATTTTACCCAACTACCCAAAGTTGTTTAAAGAAAAGGCTCTACATATTCATCATAGACTGTGAACAGTATATCACAACAAAGACCTGATCCAAACTCCACTGAAGTCAACAGAAAGACTGACTGCAGCCGGATTTGGATCAGGCATCAAGTAAGTGATAATGAGTTTTGCTGCAGTGATTTTCCTTATCGTACCTTATTTCTATGTCAGCGTGGAAGGCTGATTGCTGTAGTTTTAAGTGAAATATACTAAAACCAGTATTTTTTTTAAATGAGTGGAGGGATGGATTGTGGTCCAAACTGTTTTGCTGCAACACTGGAGTCTGTTCTCCCTGTACAGTGTGTTTTTACCATAACGCTCATTAATATTAATAGGAGGGGCAGACATACACCTAGGCGAAGAGAGATTTGTACAGGATGTCTAAAATCCACCTTACATTCCACATGCAAATAAAAATATGATTTCTATATTGTCTAAAATGTTACCTTTCTCCCCGGCCTAGAAATTTTCCACTTTGGTGCTTGAGCTAATGCTAACTATGTGGATGCTCCTGCATGCTGTCTTTTTGTGGCAGATCAAGAGTAAAATGCAAAGCAGAGAAACTCCCCTGGCAATAAGGTAATTAAAGACCTTTCCTCATGAATTAGTCTCTCAACTTACAGTGCATGTATCTATAATGATACCAAAGAAAGAAGAGATAAAGCAAGAGCGCTTTTAAACTGACCTGTTTTTCATTTTCATCCTCCAGCTTTAGCCTGTCTTCTATGCAGTTCCTGGCCTGAAGGAACGCCTTTCTCTGAGCCCTTTCCGTCAAAATCCTCACAAAGATCCCATACAAATTTACACTGACAAACAGGATAGCATTGGCCATGAGCTGTAAGGGAAGAAGAAGAAGAAAAAAAAGACAAAAATATTTTAATATGCAGATTTTTTTTCACATTACTACTCATGAATGAAAAAGTGAATATTTAAAATCCGGCCCTATAGACTACATTGGTGAAACACTTTCCTGTATTACAACAGTATAGAAGCAACGATACCAGCTGTCATGCATCTAGGCAGGCATACATCACAGTCTACAACTTTTAATTTGCTAAATGTACCTTCTCTTAAGGTGACCTGTGGCTTATTATTATTTTTGTTCATCATTAGGTCTTTCATTAAGTCATTGGCAAATCTGTCTATGTACCAATATGACCCTCACCACCATCACCTCACAAATCAATAACAGATTTTAGCCTCACAACATCGCTGTGAGGTAGGGAAGTATTATGCCAATTTTAAAAGATGGGGAACTGAGGCACAGAGAGATTAACTGAATTGCTCACAATCACACAGGAAATCTGTGGTTGAACCAAGAATTGAACCCAGTTACCCTAAGTCCCTCTTCAGTACCTCATGCACTAGGCTGTCTGGCCTGCATCTGTGCCGTTAGCAATCATATTGTGAGGTTTTGAACGTCTGTTCTAGAGATTATTGACATAATGATCCTGCAGTGCGCTGAGTGCCTCCTACAACATGCTGAGTGCCTTCAAATCCCATTGACCTTGGCAGGAGTTGAGGACACTCAGTGTGTTGTAAGAGGCACTCGGCAGGATCAGTCCCTACCAAAATACTGAAGACAGGAGGAAATGGACTAGCTAGACCAGGGGTCTCAAACTCAAAGGACCACGAGGGCCACATGAAGACTAGTACATTGGCCCGAGGGCTGCACCACTGACCACCCCACCCCTGCTGCCCTGGTTCCGCTCCCACTCCACCCCTTCTGTAAGGCCCTGCCCCTGCCCTGCCTCTTCCCACCCCTTCCCTTCCCCCATTCCAATCCCTTCCCTGAAATCTCCCTGGAGGAGCAGCCAGGGCAACACACAAACCCCTGGGTCCCCCCTCCCCCAGGTCCCAGCTGCTTCCCGGTGTGGCGCGGGGGCAAGGAAGGCAGGCAGGGAGCCTGCTCTGCCCCTGGTGCATGCCGGGCCGGAGCCGCTCTAGGTAAATGCTGGGGAGGGGGGTGCGCGGGGGTGCCGCAGGGAGCTGGTGGGCCACAGAAAATAAACCCCATGGGCCACGTGTTTGAGACCCCTGAGCTAGACAGTATACAAATTTCACATTGAAAACTGCACTTCTACGTAGGAAAGAATGGTAACAAAAATATGTGTTAATCCAAAACAAGGCCCTATTGTATGAAGTACAACCTTAGATTCATCCCATTGGGTCTTGAGCTGAATTAAGAAGTGAGGCCCTGCTCCAGCAAAGCACTTAAGCATATCTGTAATTTTAAGGATATGAGTAATTCCATTCTACCCTAGTGAGAAACTTAAAGATGAACTGCAAAACACCACCACAACAGTCTGTGCCCCTACAGCTCCAGTTTTGTGTCTACAGGAGACCTCACTTTGCTACTGATTTCCTCCTTGGCTTTAAAATATTAAGTGCTGGCTTCCTTTTTCTTTGGAGCGATTGTCAAAATGACATCACCCCAAGATCAGAACAGAAGTACTTACAGCCCCTTCTTGAGAGAGGAAGGAATGAAGCTAACTCTTAGGTTGCCTTCTTTACACAGGCACAAGATTCTCTATGGCCTTGGGCAAAAAAATATATGGCCTCTCTCCCTCCATGTTCACATCTATAAAATGGTGATAAACATTTAATTATATATCCAGATCACGGGGATGAGTTACTGCTTGTACAGCACTTTGAAGATGAAAAAAAATGTGAATGTTATTTAGAGATATAGAGGGCATAGAGAGATGTCTCTGTTCTCGTATTGTAATAGAAAGCTGTTCACGGTGTTATCAAATTTCAGCAGAAATAAAAGCCATTGAAAATGTACAACAGAAACTTCAATGGAGCCTGATTTTTAGAGGCATGAATGGTGCCACTATCACCGAATGTCTACATTTTATCATACACACTGCATGATCTAATGGCTGTGACTATTGCAATACCAGTGTGTTGTAAAGCTGATTTGTGCTGGTCCAATGGCAGTCAAGTCTAGAGGCAGCTATCAAAGACCACAAAATGAACAACTAGAACTACTATGGACAATGCAAATTGCATGAATTTGCTCAGAAGTGGTTCTAGCAACATGACTGTGTTATCAAATGGTGTCAAAACCTAATATTCTTCTTTGGATATTGATATTACAGTGAGATGGGAGCTGGATAATTGTTTTTAGATGGAATAAAAAAAGTTTATTCAATTTCTTGGCCTTCTATTGGAAGTAGTAAAAGAGCATATATTTTAACAAACTTCCAGCTGTTCCAGGGCTGTCATTACGATTTCTCTCAAACTTTGGTGATCATCTGGACCTTGAGCAACCAGTAGGTGGGTTGTTGCAATCATGCAGCCACTATCAAACGCAGCAGTGTAAGTCATTTTCTGACAAAGTTTTGAGCAGTGCACGATAAAACAGAGGCTTAGCTGTAAGCGTTGGCCTGCAGGGAATCAGGAAAAGCGATAAAGCAAGTAAAAGTCACAGAATTAAGAATGTGAGAAAAGAAAGTAGGGTAGATTGTCTCCTGATATAATATTCTCTCCCTCCCCTCACAAGGACCTCTAACTTATTTATTTTTCTGACTGCAAATGGTGTATATTTCTTTCACTGTTGATTTCTTGGATGTATGCCATTTTGTGGTCCCAATATACATATACTATCTGACATATGACCTAGGAAAGGTTAGTAAGGTTTTCAGAATTAAAGCCAATAATGAAATGACTTTTGCCAACTAGATGGACTCAAGCAAGAGGTCAAAATTAGGCCAAGAGTCTTAAAAATGACTAGTGACTTTAGGTGTCTTAATTTCTGGGTGCCCCACTTGAGATACCTTAAAGGGTCCTAATTTTCAGAAAGTGCTGAGGGAAGTTTGAAAATTCAATGCTTTTAAAAGGTGTCTTGGATTGGGCACCCAGAAATTGAAGCCTCAGAAAGAAAACCACTAGTGATGTCCAAAAGTCGTCGTTTAAATCCTTGCTCATAAGATGCTAAGCTGTTTGGGGAAGGGACAGTCTTTTTGTTCTGTGTTTGTACAGCGTCTAGCACAACAGTGTCCTGGTCCATGACTAGGGCCCCTACCTTCTACATTAATTCAAATAAATACATAATAATACCATCTAGTGTAATAAGTGGCATATATTCTGTGTAGTAGCAAAAAGGTGGTATTTTCTATTTGCTTAAAAAGAAACAATGCTTTTTTGTTTGCTTAATGTGACAATAAATTGCAAAGAAGCTTTTGGTTTTGCATGTTTTCTTAATACAGTAGACCCTCAGAGTTACGAACTGGCCAGTCAACCACACACCCATTGGAACCGGAAGCACATAATCAGGCGGCAGCAGCAGAGCCCCCCTCCTCCCCCCCAAAAAAAACCCCAAAAAGAAATACAGTACAGTACTGTGTTAAATGTAAACTACTAAAAAAAAATGAAGGGAAAGCAGCATTTTTCTTCTGCATAGTACAGTTTCAAAGCTGTATTAAGTCAATGTTCATTTGTAAACTTTTGAAAGAACCATAATGTTTTGTTCAGAGTTACAAACATTTCAGAGTTACGAACAACCTCCATTCCCAAGCGGTTCGTAACTCTGTGGTTCTACTGTAAATAACTGATGCCATTCATAACCAGGTTACCCACTAGCTGGAATAACAAGTTCCGCAGTAAATTCCTTCCTGAAAACCATTTTCTGTTTTTGACTGAAAAACCTTTGAGGTTTTGACAACCAGCCCTTCCCACTGGACTATAACCTGGTACATGACACAAACCTGAGAAATCACAAATGCTAAAATGGTTTCTTGATTACTCAGAGGGCCTCCTATGTAATGGCTCTAATAGGGAAGGATCTTAAAGTACACAACTGGAATAGACTAAAAGTAAATGAGGGATGTAAATCACTGTGGAACAGTTTTTAAAACGAGAGCCCCAAATCAAATGAGATTTTGCTCTCTGAATGAGAAAGTCAAGGTTGTGATCTCATATAGGATTGAAGACTGATTTCAATGGCAGTTGCAGATGCTTGGCATTCTCTGGATGAGGCCTTAATTGCAAATATCAGTTACTTGAGTCACTCCCACAGTGGCACAGCTGTTCATGAGCTGTCACATTGTCCCGTGGGAGGTGGGGATGCAGCAGAATGGAATAGTGAGGGGTTGCTGTCAGCAGCTCTAGTAGAAGGCCAAGATCTGCAGAAAATGCTGGTCCAGTTCTTGTGGATTCTTAGACATCTGTGGCCAGCTGAAAGAGCAAAAACTAGTAATCGGAGAAACTGAGTGGTATTCCCAGTTCTTTTCATTGACTTGTTGAGTGACATGGGGGCAAATAACTTATCCTTTCTGTGCCTCAATTACCCTGTTTGTAAAACTAGAACAATAACATCCACTCACTCTTGTAAAATACTTTGAGATGTATGGATGAAAAATATCATCATTTTTACTACAAACAATATACATTTTCCATTATAACTCATGCATCCATGAAAGAGCAACAGGCTACACAGAACATTGGTAATAAGAGTCTTACTTAAATGAGTTTTAGGCCTGGTCTACACTTAAATTTAGGCTGACATAGCTACGTTGCTCTGGGATGCGAATAATCCACAACCCGGAGAGATGTAGGCATGCCAATTTACTGTGTATGTAACCAGGTTGACAGAAGAATGCGTTCATCGTCTTCACTACTGTCACTAATGGAGATGGTGTTCTTATACTGATGGATAAATGTGAAGACTGCATCTACACTATGGGGTTATGCCGTAGCGACACTGGTATACTCCCCATAATAGAGACATGGCCTTAACATTAACACTATAGCACAATACCATTGAATCTTTGCTGAAAAGTGAGACAAGACTGTGGCTTTGTGTGTGTGAGAATTAGAGAGGATGTAAAT